ATGTTTATATGTTTTCTTGAGCCAAGGGTCTTTCGGAAACAAAAAAAATCACATTTTTAGGATTGGGGACCTTACTTGGTTGTTATTGTTGTTGGAAAACAGAAACTAAGATGAGAGGAAGATGCAAATTTTCACCTAGGGGGAAGCGGCTTTCGTACTGGTCAGAGCAGTCATCAAAATGAAGTTGGATCTCCCGAATCGCTTGATTCCCTCTGTCAATGACAAGGAGAGAGCAGCTGCTTCCAATATAGACCACATCAAAGTCGGTTGAAAACTTGGCGTCTTCACTTGGCCCATCAACATGACCACCACCACTGCTGCCTCCGCGGCTCCCTTTGCCTCCGGCGATTGTTGTCATTCCTGGGACAAGGAACACTTTATTGTTTGAAAACTAGCTTCTTTGAATGTTATATAAGAACATGTTTGGACGGAGGAAATAGAATGTTTCTATTAAAAAAATTAAAAGGTGATTGAAATGTTATATATGATCACATATAACATTAATCTTTTTTGTTTTTGTAAAGCCTAAGATTTGTATTCAGCTGAAGAGCTATGAAGCTAAAGCATAGTGGTAGAAAGTGACCAGAACACCTAGAGCCCATTTCATAGCCAAAAGCAGTTTATTCAGCAGATTAAGAGGGTATTTGGCACTGCGTTGCTTTTCAGAATTTAGCTTCTGCTTTAAGTGGTAATCATTTTATTCTCTTTGGCATACCAACTTCTGCTTTTCGTCACCATCATTTTCTTACATATAACACGATTACGGAGAAGCAGATATATGGTGGTTCTGCTTTCAGCTTTTTTGAAAAAAACTTTACCCAAAAGTTAATCACTACCAAACATCCTCTAAATGGAATTAACAAAACAAGTAACTTTCAACATACTCATTTGGTTGAAATTGACTAATTGACTTCAACCAAAACTCTTTTCCTTACAGAAAATTCAGCTGATTAAACCATCACCAAACGGGCTCCTAATTTCTTCATATAGCTATGATTTAAAAATCAACTATTAAATCTGCCTTGGCATTAGGTCTCCCCTTGGTCACATACATTATGATACAGCTTGTGAGAGAAAGGAACATTCATGAACGTCTGAGAAACTAATGAACTGAATTACCTGTTTCACTAATCTTCCTAATTGCCATATTATCAGCATCTGCAATGTAAATATTTCCCTTGTCATCAACTGTAAGCCCCTTGGGATGGTTCAACCTCGCATCCCGCTTTTTACCATCCACGTGTCCTGAGTGCCCCTCCGCAGAACCAGCAATCAACCTTGGTCGGGTGTCTGTAACTATCCCAGATTTATTTTAGAAAACAAACATTATTTAATGTCATTGGCTTAGTGTCACGTTGAATGCCCGGGCTAAAAATGACTAATATACATAAGAATATGAGTCCCTCCTCCCATTGTCAATTGGTTTTTGTGATGGAATCTCACAGTTCTACATGGTATCAAAGCCAAGGCTTAGGAGCTCAAAATAGAAGCTAATCTCTATTCAAACTGAGAGACAAGTTAGAGTCAAAAAGACTCAAATTGCACTTGATGAGATGTTGCAGGGATAAGGTTGCATACATCTTGACCCCCCAAACCTTAAAGAAGTTGGGCTTATATTGAGTTTTATTTGTTGTAGTTTGAGCTTTCCCACATTTTCTTTCCTGCCAGTTTTACCCTCTAGTTCTCTTCCTATTTACTTTCCCAAGTATTTTAAAGGCTCCAAACAGATCATAATACACTATACCAAATTAATACTTAAAAGACTAAATGAACACTTACATTGAGACAAAGAGGAAGAAATCTTGTAAATATTACTATTAGCAGAATCCAAGATGAGGAGCTCCCCACTTGGCAAGACCTCCACTGTGTGAGGCTCAATCCCAAGCTTGCTTCCATCAAAAACTGTCTCCACTGTATACCCACTCTCAAACTTCACCGTTGGTCGCCTGGCAGCCGCTGCTCAAAGACATACACACAATAAATCACATGAATCAAGCCAAAGGTATAACATGTATTAAGCTTATCGAATGTCCAAAGTTCAAAAATCCAACCCAGATCCAATAGCAAATATCTTGCTGCCCAAATACTATAACAGGCTATTGCCTATCTCAGACCCATTACAAAAAGCCCTACCCCTACCTAGTTTTCCACATAGGGCCTCCAAAAAACTAGAAATGTTACTGACTACACCATATCAGCTCCAAGATCTCCTGCCCAGAGGTTGATCCAGCTTGATGACAACATAGTCAATTGACCCAAAAAAATACCACACGTGAATCCATTCAGGCTTACCAAAACGGAATATAATTTCTTTTTAAATTTCAGAATCTGAAAGTTGATGAAGATAAAATCCAATTGAAATTTGGTAGGTGGATGGATCTACAGATTCTATATACCTTTTTTGGGAGCTTTGGAAGGCCGAAACCATTTCATCAGCTTAGATACCGCATTTGACAAAGCCCCATTCACAACTCCTGTTTCCAAATTAAGAAAAAAAATGTGAGAAACCCATCATCGCTCATAAATAGACAGACGAGAAAAACTGGAAGTCAATGACCCATTTAAAACCGAAGCGAGATCAAACAGCAGAAACTCATAACAGTGAAAACCAGTTCACAACCATAAGCTTACTTGAAGGAGAGGGAGAAACTGCAGCAGAAGAGAGAGACCCAGAGAGGAGAAGAAGAGAGAGAACCAGAAGCAACCCATTTCTGGCCATGGCGGACACCTTTTTTCCCTTGGGAGAAATGAAGCAAAAACTCTCTTTTGATCGACGATTCAAGATTTGGGTTGTGCCCAATCCAGCTCAGATTGAGCTGCTGGTGCTGTTTGCTTGCCTCATTATACCCAGGTGGGAACCGGGAAAAGGGGAAGTGCGACAGAGAGAGGGCAGCACTGAGGAGGAGAGAGAGCGCATTTGTGTGGCCTTTTTCAGATTGTTTTCCCCTTTTGCCTTTTCTTTTTTCTGGTTTTCTTTCTTTTATCATCATGAAAATAAAAAAGTGAGATGGGTGTGTTAGGTCTTTTTCACACTAGGGAGTTGAGAACAAAGTGAAAACTTTTGTTCACTTTACTCTCTTTTTTAAACAATCTACGGAGTATTATTCTTTCATTCATTTTTTTTCATTCCTTTCTTATTGAAGAATAAATTCCTAAAAATGTTTTTTATCACATATGATATTTCACATATAATCTTTATCCTTTTGTATTATAAAACTTAGAGTAGTTTAAAAGTTTCTTCTAACTCATTTTAATTTTTTCACAATAATTATTTTTTTTTTCAATTTTTTCCCCTTTTTGAATACTAACTTACAAAATTACTTAGCCGTACTTTTATATTAATACTCTTATTACAATTAGTAGTAGTATTCATCATCATCATCATTATTATTATCAATGTGAATAAAAAACTGAAATAATGTCACATTTTATATAAAAAATTAAATTCTACTTATGATTATAGAGCTCACATAAAAAACAAAGCTATCAAATTACTTAATCTATTATATATTCTATGTTGTTGCTTTGTAAAATTTCTCAAATATGTTTATTTGTTACGAGATTAACTTGTATTGAATTTAGTTTTAAATTACATTATTAAATGCATACAACTCAACTTATTCATTGATCACTCCATATAAAATAATCTCTTTATAACTATACTTTATAAAATTTTAAACAACATATAATTCATTTTTTTCGAGCGAGATTTCATTAAATTTTGAGTATATTGTATTAAACTTTTAAATGATGTTATAATTTTTTTCAAATACTAGAGCGTCATGAAATGTGTCCAAGTCTCATTTTCCTAACTTTCCTACATGCCCGAAGTACTTTAGTTACTTACTCCAATATTATAAAATCACACTGAATAATTATATGCTCTTTTTTCTATTCTTCAAAATATTTAAATGTGTGTCCTAAGACCCCTAATATGAAAAGAAAAGAACATTAACATTTTTCAAAATTAATATATACGGTTAATTTTTTTCTAAAATTTATTGATAATGGAAAAATTATGTCATTGCCTAAATCACATACTCCATGTTAACTCTTTTTTTCATGAACTTTTGGGGGGGGGGGGAGGNGGAGGGGTACAAATTATATTATACAACCGGCTATACCCAAAGCTGGGTACAACCGGTAAAATGAAACGCCAAAAAGACGCAGGCCAAGAGCAGAAATGGAAATTTTGGACTGGAGGAGGGACGCGTATGAAGGGAGGGCGACAATCGAAGAAGAAATCCATTGTTTGGTGAAAGAGAGGCGCATCAACGACAAAGGGTTTAGGGTTTAGATGTTTGGTCGCGTCCGGTAGAAGATAAAGAAAGAGGGCTATTAACTGCTCGTATGAATTCTATGTTGTTTGAGAATGTACACTAAGTTATTTGAGAATGTGCGTTCTTTTGTTTCATAATGAACACAACATTATTCATAAATAAATATTATAATTGTGTTGAAAAAACGTGTGAAAATGAATACAATATTAGTTTCGACTGAGTAGTACTACCTCCGTCCATGAGTATTTGTCCAGTTTTGACTTTTTTCGGTCAACTATTTTCAACCTTTGACCTATAATTAATAAAATATATATTGTACTTTAATTAAATAAAATAATATTTTAAAAATATTTGATATAATAAATCTAATAAAACTTTTTTTGTATCAATATCTAATATCATTTTTATTTAATTTGAAGTCAAAGTTTACCAATTTTGACCGAAAAAAGTTAAAAAATGGGCAAATACTCAAGCACGAGGAAGTATGTTATTTGAGTACTAACTTACGGAGTATTTAAAATGGAGGCCGGTTCCAGAGCAATCCAGTGGCTGCCCGCAGCCACTTCCTCTCTACGGAGCTTCGTTCATGAAATTGATGATTCCTATCCCCTAACCTCCGGTAAACCCCCGCCAAGTCTCAACCCAAACTACTCTCCCCACCTACGTCAATTGCACCTCGTAAGTATAAAGTCAAAAAATTGACTTTAAAGTCAATTATACTTGCGAGGTGCAATTCACGTAGTGAGAGAGTAGTTTGGGTCGAGACTTAGCGGAGAATTTACCGGAAGATTAGGAGGGGCATGAATTATCAATTTAAATTTCATAAACTAAGCTATGTAGGGGGGCATGAACTGATTCCAGTGGCTGGAACCGGCCCCTTTAAAATGAGGTACTAAGTCACTGATTCAGATACGTCCAGGCTCCATCGCTACCCTCTGCTCAGCTGCAACAATGACAAGGGGAAAGTGGTTCAGATACGTCCCTTCCCGCCTCCACCTTCGCCGGTCCTTCTCTTCGGACTGTCTTCACCCGGCCCCATTTCATCCTCCTCGAAGAGTTGTCGTCACTGGTATTTACTATGATCTATTTCTCTTTTCTTTTGATTTCGATGTACGCCAAATGTTTATGCCCTGGCCGATAAGTTTTCTGAATCGACACCATCCTGAATTCTAGTGTTCTGAATCGAGCAAGTCTCGAATAACTATAGTATGCATTTGAGTTTCTGTTTCATTAAAATGCAATGTATTGTGTTTGAGAATCTCTTTTGCTTTTATGTTATGACTTCACAAGTCTAATACTGATACTGGTTTTCCGCTTATACTTATAACTTTTGCTTTTTTCAGAAATATATCACAAACCCAAACACACTCTAGGTTTGAGTGGATTAGACATTGCCCAGAATTTAGATTAGTTGAATAATCTGTTGTTAATGCATAATGGATTATCAGTATAATTTATTGAAGGTGTTTGGCATTGATTAAGCTTTTGGAAGATGGTTTATATTAAACACAAAAACCAAAACCATTCTAGAGATGCTTCTCAACTTGTGCTTCTCTATCTCTACTAAAAGTTGATAATGAGTTAGCAAAAGCATTGCCAAAAATTAACAATGTGCTTCTATCCAACATAAAAGCTAAGAATCACTCGCCTAAAGCACTGTCAAATACCTTCATTGTGATTAGACTCACTTTTGTTTGGAAACGTTTGTTAATAAGCGATTTTGGAACAGTCAAATTCCTTTGGGTGCAGGGATGAAGGATTTGCTATTACCTCATATTTTTCCTTTTTGTTGACAGGTATTGGCATGGTGACACCACTTGGCTGTGGGGTCAAAACTACTTGGAAGAGATTGATAGAAGGTGAATGTGGTGTAAGAGCAATAACTATTGATGACTTGAAGATGAATGGTTTTGATAGAGAAGTCCGGCTGTCAGCATTTGATCAGCTGACATCAAAAGTTGCCGCGGCAGTGCCTTGTGGAACTAGCCCAGGGGAATTTCACGACGAGTTGTGGCTCAATTCCAAAGTACTGATCTGCAGTAATGCTTTGAAGCTTGTTCGTTTCATATTTACTCAATACTTCGCACAATTTTCCTTTTTCCAAAATCTGAACCCGTAAATATATGTTTTTATTTGTACTATAGTGACATGCTGAACAAAACATGGTCAATAATTTCCCATAGTCGATTTAAGGACAGGACACATTAACAAGAATTAGTGGGTGCTACTCATGGAATATTTTTGCAGGAGCATAGATCAGTTGCAAGGTTTATAGGGTATGCACTATGTGCTACTGATGAAGCCCTCAAGGATGCTAATTGGATACCCTCCACATTGGATGAAAAGGAACGGACAGTATGTATTTATTTTTCATTTTCTCTCTGAATGTGGATTTTCTCTTGGTTTTTTGGAGTGTAAGGAATAAGGATAATTGCATCAGGGAGTCTCCATCGGTGCTGGGATTGGAAGCATTGTCGATATAATGGATGCATCCAAAATGATATGCGAGAAGGTTAGTTGATGAAAACTGGAGCGTTATCTTTTTAAAAGTTAGTTTTTTTAAACATGCACATGCTCACTCTGAATGAACTTATTTAGGTGCATTCATGCTTAAGTGCTTATCTACTTCTATATAATACTTTGTGCTTAGAGTCATTTTTAACTAAGTTTCGATAGAGTTAAAAAGCAGTTTATAAGTATTCAAAAGCTTGGGTTTTAAATCATCTCAAAGAGCATTTCAAAATAAGCTGACAGAGAATCCAACTGAACTAGCAAGCCCACTTTAGCTTATTTATAGAGCTAATTTTTATATTACTTATCTTAAATGTTTTTGTTGAGTTTTTTCTACAAACTATGGTGTAGACTCGATTATAACCCATAAGCATAATTTTTTTTAAAAATCATACGGATAACATTTTGTTTTTTATTGCAGAGTCTACGACGGATCAGTCCATTTTTCATCCCACGGATACTTATTAACATGGCTTCAGGCCATGTGAGCATGAAATATGGGTTTCAGGTGTGTAATTCTTATCAGGTGCAAATTATGTTAATGTTGAACAAATGCTTTTGATGATACTACTGGCATCATTCTTATCCTACTATTCAACTTATTCAAGAATTAGGATATAATGCCTTTTGTACAGATATCAAGGAAACAAATAATGTACAATCAACTTTCCAATTTTGCCCCTTAAAAGGTGGGAAAAAACAACAACGTAGTATACTTCCAATGCCGTTGAGGTCTGGAGAATCAAGATATTACGTAATCTTACCCTTGTAAAAACAGAGAGGTTGTTACCGTTGACCATAAATGTATTGCTGCATTTACTACCCACAACTTCATACTCCCTCAGTCCGGGAAAAAGTTCCGCTTATGGTATATGATGTCTGAGGGAAATTATTTTCAATTCATTTTATTTGAAAATTGGTGTAGAATTAAATGATAACATTTATATCTTTAAAAACTATATCAAAATGTCTACAAAACAAGAGGTGACTTACTATTTTATTTTATGAATTGATCAATGAAATTATGTAAGGAAATAAGATATAGTTTGATCATGCGAATAGTAAAGTGGAACTTTATTTTGGGACGGAGGGGGTAGAAGATATAAAATGACGAAAGTTTCATGTGCCGTTTTAATTTAGTCCATTATGTGCCTAAAACTAAAACACCCTCCCGAGACCCAACTTTTGTGGGATTCAACTGGGTTGATGTTGTTGTTATATGTGCCTAAAACAAAAACATTGTCAATACTCTTTTAGCTACATTGGCAATGGACGGACATAAAAGGTGGGAAAGTTGTATAAAAAGTTGTCCAGAAAAGTCAACATGTGGAATTATAAAAAGGATAAATTGGAAAATTATAAGGTTAGTAGAGTTTTAAATGGAAGTGGATATAATTTTGGGACAACCCAAAAATGAGAGTGGGGCATATATTCTACTCTATTTGAATTTAGGGACCAAACCATGCTGCAGTGACAGCTTGTGCTACGGGGGCTCATTCAATTGGAGATGCTGCTAGGATGATTCAATTTGGTGATGTTGATGTCATGGTTGCTGGAGGGACAGAAGCCAGTATTGATGCTTTATCTATTGCAGGGTTTTGTAGGTAATAATGCTCAACTTCTGTAATTGTTTTTAGCTCTCTTTTAATATACATTCTTTCATATATCAGACGGTTTCTGAATTCGGTGCTCTATTTGAATTCCTGTCGCATTTCACTGATATCAATATCAGTGATTGTCAAGGGACTTAAAACTAGGAAACTAGCTTAGGTTCCTTCACCCTAATGCTTTTCTCTTTACAGCACCCGTATGCAGCTTTTTGAAACTTGAAGAAGACCATACTTCACCCTAATATATTTATCATTATAAGCTCAGTCTGTACTTTTTTTAACTTGAAAATTAAAACCACACTTAATAGTTTGAACATGAACATGGATGAAATTATTTTATTCTACATGCCTCATCTTAGAATTCTGAATATGTTCTCTTGATGGTTTTCTTTCAATTTTTTATATGCAATGCAGTCTTTCTCTAATGCAGGCTAAGAGCGTTGACTACCAAGTATAATTCTACACCACAAGAAGCTTCAAGGCCATTTGATTGTGACCGGGATGGATTTGTGTAAGAGATAACGTAAATTATACAGGCCATCTTTTATTTCTTGGTTTCGAAATGTTGCATTGTCTCTGATGTTTCACCTGCATTACTGAGATGCAGCATCGGTGAGGGTTGTGGTATTTGTGTGTTAGAGGTCAGTTCCTTGTTCACGTGTACTGTTTTCTATTTTCTGCATTAATCAATTGAATTGGTGTTTTGATTTATAATCATATTGCTAGTAAATAGAAAATTTCTGTTTGTTTTTCAGGTTAGTGCATTAGATTTTTAATTATTAAAAATTTGATACATTTTATTTAATTTCTACAGGAATTGGAACATGCAAAGAAGCGTGGGGCTAAGATATACGCTGAGCTTCGTGGTTATGGAAGCTCAGGTTGGTTTGAAATCTATGCTGCTGCATATGTTTGAGAATTCTATTGTGTTTTTGCTTTTCATTTGACATAAGTCACTAACTTGGTCAGGTGATGCATATCATATAACTCAACCACATTTAGACGGGCGAGGTGCTATTTTGGCAATGACTCGTGCTTTGAAGCAGGTGAGATAATGAGGCATTGAGATTTCACTGCTTAAATAGCGCAGACAATTATGCATAATTTTTTCTTCAGTTACATTTAATGTGAGATTGGAACCTAAGCCTATTGTTTTTAGTTTATGGCGGGCAACTTACGACTAAGGCAAATTCTTTGGTGGACCTAAGGTCAATCATGGACCTACATATGAGTAAAATAAGCATTTCCTTACTACTTAAATAAACATCCATTTTTTTTAATGAAAAATAAAAAAAATAGACTTTTTATGTGAGAAAGTCCACAAAAATGGTATGCACCCAAGGTTCACCAAAGAAGTACTCTACGACTAAATTGTACTCTTAACCCCCTGATTATGTGTGTTCATATCATTCTTTATTCTCTAAATAGCATTGTTCATTTGTTTGAAATTTCGAGTTCAGTATCCCAAACATGACTCTTTTTTAGGCGGAAAGAGTATTAATATGCACTTTAGACATTGAAAAGAAGAAGGTAGAGTAACCATAGCCTCCCCAAATTATTACTGATGGCTATTATCTCTACAGCCTACCATTTCTTTCTGATAGGGTAGTGAAGATTTGGTTTCATCCTAAAACTAGTTTGCTATAATTGGTTTTTCTTTGTTTTGTTTTTGTCTCTTTGCAGTCTGGTCTTCGTCCTAACCAAGTGGACTACATAAATGCACATGCGACATCCACACCTTTGGGTAGAACTAAAAGATATCAGAAAATTATTATTTGATAAAATTCTGAACTTCCACTTGTGAGATTTTAACTTCTTAACTAACTACTCATCAATGAACCAAATATTATTCTTCCTCAGGTGATACTGTGGAAGCTAATGCAATCAAACATGTATTTTCCGATTATGCGACTTCACGAGATCTCGCCTTTTCCTCGACTAAGGTATGTTCAGAGTCGAGGTGGTGGCAAATCTTTCAACCATCAAAGTTCTGCTACTATGGCTACCTTTTTTTTGCATTATTATTAAATAAACAGAATATTTGGACAAGAGCTGCAGCCTGCAGACACTTGTGATCCATACTCTTATTATTTTTAATAGGCTTAAATTAGGAAAAAAAGATACCTTATAAACACAAAATCAATCTCCCTCTCCCCTCCAAAATCCCCCAACCAAACACGCCCTATATGTTCGTTCACAGAAAATGTCGTTGTGCCAGGGGAGTGATAAATCAGGACACCTTTCCCGTGACTTTTGCAAAGAGGTGGGGTTTGAGCCTTGACCTCTAAGACATAAGGGGAGATACTCTCCATCCTACTTCCGCCATTTAGAAATGGACATTATGTTAGTAACTGTTTTTTCTTTAATATTCATCTTGTTTCAGCCTTTCTACTTTCTGAATAAGGTAAGGTCCCCAGACTCCACTTTATGGGCCTTTACTGGGTTTGTTGTTTTTCTTGTTTCATAGAAACCAAGAGAGATTGTCCCATATTTTTCATTTGGACTGCTTTTTTATTGTGCCAAAACATAAGGGTGCGATCGGGCATTTACTTGGAGCAGCCGGAGCTGTAGAAGCTATTTTCACTGTATTGACGATACACCATGTACGTAGTTTGACACTTTTGTTGCATTCATATTATATTGGGTTCCCTCAAAATTAAATTCTTAGGCCAATGCTCTGGTGGTGTTGACTTTTGAGTTACAACCTTTGAGTTTTTCAAAAACATTAAAAGTCAGGTTTCGTAAATCAGAAAGGCAGAAACAATGGTTTTTAGCTATGATTAGCTTTGGTTTATTATATAATAGTGTATATCATATACCCTGAGTAACTTTTAAACCCATAAAACTAAAAACTAGCAACCACCCGGGCCAGCCCTAAGTTATGTCGTTTGACATTTTTATGTGGTTGCAAGTATTGGAAGTAGTCCGTGCTCTCAGTTGGATTTTTTGTAGGCCATTGATTGTTGCAATGTTTTATTGCAGGGAATTGTGCCTTTGACACTCAACCTTAAAAAGCCGGACTCCATATTTACTAAACATTTCATGCCATTGACAACCTCAAAACAAATAGAGGTTAAGGCTGCGTTGTCGAACTCGTTTGGTTTTGGGGGAACAAATTCATCTTTGCTTTTTGCTTCCATTAACTAATGGGTGGGGTTCCCATGACATTAGAACCCCATGGCATGGGATGACTCGGGGGTGCTCCGGTGCTCTTTTCGTAAAATTGACGAGTCCTATCTCCCCTAACCCCCTCGGTAAACCTTGGCAAAAATAATAATGCATTTTTACCTTTGACCAAACTAACAACCAATTTTGTTTATTGTATTCTTTCTCTAGTATATGTGGGTTACTCACACCCTCCCCAAACACTACATACACACACCTTCTCCAGACCCTAGTTTTTTTGGGATTTATTGTTGTATATGACCGTTCCAGTTATGCAATCGATCAATTTGCTTTATATTTCAACAATGGCAATGATATCATCCTCACTTATACCATTTGGAATTGTATCATTAGCTTGTTGGAGCATACCATATTTTATGCTTGGTGTTCTATTTTGGTTTATCACTTGCTTGTATTGACAATGCAATGCCTACACAGTTTTCTCTACCATTTACCCCAAATGTGGGATGGATGATCGAGATAAATCAGTAAGAGCTTGTTCTCTTTGTTTGATTTGATTTTATTAAGGGATGTATGATCTAGCATGATCTGATCTGGTTGTACTTATATTTAAAGTTGTTTTTGATGTGGTCTTGCTATGACTTAATCTGATTCCAATAACATAAGTTGAAGAGAACACGTTCTAACTAGTCGTCAATATTGTTTAGTTGAACTTCATGCATTGTTGTGCCTTCGAAAAAGTACACAGATTTAGAGCATCTAGGTAACCATTATGTTAGAATCAGACTACACTGACTGGTCCGACTAGCCATATTGTGAACCGGACACAAGTCTCGTTTGATTGAATAATCTATCCCAGATTTGCATTACCTTGTTCAAACCCACCGAACAAGATGACCCTACTTAACCCGATCGGTATGTGACTTGTCAACTACTCCCTCCGTCCCAATTTAAATCGCCCGTTTTGACTTTTGGGCTTATTTAAGGAAAATAAAAAATAGAGTTGATTTTTCAAAATTGACATTACTTTTTAATAGGGGTAATGATGAATGAGAAGATAAGGTGAAAAAGAGTGACTTATTTTAAGGGTAATTTAGGTATTTTATTTTTAATAGTTTACGAAAACAACTAACAGGCAATTTATTTTGGGACGGAGAAAAAAGGCAAACAGGCAATTTAAAATGGGACGGAGGGAGTACTTGTTTTTGGTTTTTCTCTTCAAATTTATATTATTCTTTGTTTCTTTGTTTATATACATATTTATTCTAACCTGCAAACCAAAAGTCCATATTCCCATTTAAGTTTGAACATCTGACCTCAAATTTATGAAAGTCACAATGATGTTGTTGGACTAAAAGATCTTTGGCAGGAGATTTGTGTATTACACCCTCTTTCCTCAATTTATTGTCAGAGTTATTATTCTAGAATGAGAATAGTTCACAAATATTGTATTGCCAACTATTCTTCAATCCTTTATGAATGTTAATATAATCAATGTGTTTACTATGGCCTGACCTTTTTAATATCGATTTTAAATACTTCGTATATGATTTTTTTATTTATAAATATACTAATTTAGAAATAAAATAAATTTAAAAGAAAAACTTTATTTCATCTAGTAAATCCCTTGAATTTTATTTTAGGAAGGGGGCGTATTTACAATATATTTATTTATATGTATTGTTTGTTTACAATCCCTTGAAAATTATTTGTTTGTTTATTCAAAAACATATTTACAATGACAATTAATAAAAAAAAATCTATTTCACCGAACTACCATCTTGAAATACGAATCTACCAATTTTTTTTATTTTTCGGACTCAAAATATTTACTAAAATTATTTCTAAATAAATTTATTATAAATAAAAATTGGTATAAAAATTTAAAAGTGACTCGTTTTTTTCATCTTTCCAAACGAACTCTTAAATGCACAACACTAATTTTAAAAACAGATAGGTTTTGAGTTTTGACCCCACTGGTGGCATCACCGGCATGTATATATATTTGAACTGCCACCCGCCGCCGCAATGGGCGGTGGCTCACCATTTGCGCCGCCAGCAATGAAGCAAAAGAAAGACAAAAAGGAAACTCCACTGGGAAATTTTTCTGTACCATATTATATTGTCTGTATTTATATAAACCCAACAACACCTTTAGAGCAGTAGTAGTAATAGGCAGAAAACATGTTTAGAGAGACCATTAATGAGAGCCCAATCTACCCATTCCACTACTGATAATAAGAAAACCCCAAAAAGAAAAAGAAAAATAGAAACAGAAAAAAGTTATACTTCAGAGCAGCTGAAAGCATCATCAACAAAAGGTGGAAGGCTCAATCATTCTCTCGAAAGCAGCCCGTAAATGAACGGTCTGTACGGGCGGTGGTGGCTTCGGGCTTGATTCGCTGGCAAGGCTCCGAAGCATCCAGATGACATCAGCAATGTCGTCGAGGTAATACCGGGCCCGGCTCGGTTTTTGCCCGACGGTGCATGCAAAGATTTCGGGCGCAGAGTTTAGTGAAAGGCTGGTAACAGAGTTTATTATGCTCTCAAACATGTCTTCATCTGATCTGTCATCCCCGACGCACATCACGAAATCCGGCTGTTTCCCACTCTTCACCATTGCTGACAGAACCTTCTCTGCAACTAGACCTTTGGTTACACCCTGCATATATAGCATCATATCAGCTATTCCCTCTTGTCTTTGTCTCAAAATAAGGTTCAAAGAGAGCCTAACGCCTAGACAGAGATTCTTAAAACAAGGATAGGCGAGAAATGGGAAAACGGAGATAAGAACTCACTTGTGGTTTGACTTCGACAATATGTTGTCCCCTCTTGACAACAGCGGGTTCATTGGCGAGTACGTTTTCCAAATGATCAAGCAACTCCTTAGCCTGGCAAGAGCCAAAGTCAGGGTCTGCATCTTGATGGTGCCAAACCAGAGCACTCTCTTTAGATTCAATAAAAGAGCCATCAGTTGCATCAGCATATTGTCTCATTACAGGCTCAACGATTCCTTTCCAGTCAATATCAGCATCCATGCATTCCCATTCGGCCGATTTATTCCACCTGTTAACCAGATTTCAAAAAAAAAGAGCAGTGGGTCTTCTAGTTACAGTGCAAAAATAGATAAGGTCCATACGGGCACTAAAAATAGCAGATATAAATCAAGTGCAGAATACGTATCAAAAATCTTGATTTATTAATACCTTATAAAATAACCATGTTCAGCAGCTATTCCGAGCCTTTCGCATGGTGAAAGCCATTCGTCCAACGAACTTCTACCTCTGCCACTGACAATGAACACTGTGTTCTTTGGATCATTGGACAGAGCATTTAGGAATGTAATGACTTCTGCGCCAGGAGATTTAACAATGGACGATTGAGGTACAATTGTGCCATCATAGTCCAAAAATATCACCCTCCGGTTTGTCCTTATGTAAGATGAAACTATGTGATCGGAAGACAACTTTCTAAAACTCGGAGAAAGTGAAATGACTTTGAAACCGAGGCCCAAACCAATACCCCAACAGCGTTTGTTATAATGATCCTTTGTTGCCCTTTCAAGATCCTGCATAAAGCTGCGGGCCCAATACGCAATATCATGGGAGCTAACATACCGGTAGTGTTTTTCGTGGCGGAGTTGCTTTTCTGGATCAGGCATGGTTAGTGCAACATCAAGTGCTTCAGCCACAGCTTCAATATCCCAAGGGTTCACCCGGATTGCTCCGCTCAAAGAAGGTGAACAACCAATGAACTCTGACACAACAAGCATGCTAGTGCGAGGAGAATAGGTTTCTGTTCCCTGTCTGCAGACGATATACTTGTAGGGTACCAAATTCATCCCATCCCTCACTGCATTCACTATACAGCATTCAGCAACAGAATAATATGCAGCCTTCTCATAGTGAGCAACAGGTCGATCGATCAAGACTATAGGGTCATATCCAGGGAAACCATACCGTTTGTTGACCCTTTCAACAGTTGAATATGTCTCCCTCTTTGCTTCCTGAACATCTTTCCCAGAGCTCCGAGCAGGATTCACAATTTGGACTAGAACAACCTCACCTTGGAGCTCTGGATGTTGTTGCAAAAGTAGTTCAAAAGACATCATTTTGAGACTGATGCCCTTAAATATGTCCATATCATCAACACCTAAAACAACTTTTTTCCCTATAAACTGCTGTTGGACTTCTTTGACCTTGTCAGATGTTGAGGGGAGATTCAAAATAGACACCAATCGCCCCATATGTACACCTACAGGCAAAATTTTGATATAGACTGTGCGTCCAAAGTAATCAAGTCCGATATACCCTCGTTTAGATTCATAGTCAAGACCTAACATTCTGCTACAGCAAGAGAGGAAATGGCGGGCATAATCAAAGGTATGAAAACCAATCAGATCACAGTTTAGCAACCCTTTTAGAATCTCATCCCTAACCGGCAAGGTTCGGTATATTTCTGATGAAGGAAATGGACTATGGAGGAAGAATCCTAGTTTGATGCGATTGTAACGCTTCCTCAGAAATGTAGGGAGAACCATAAGGTGATAATCATGAACCCAGATATAATCGTCCTCAGGGTTAACAACTTCCATAATCTTATCTGCAAACAATCTGTTGGCAGAAACATAAGCCTGCCAAAGATGACGATCAAATCGATCAGCATGATCTGGGCACATCGGTAGCATGTAATGGATTAGAGGCCACAACTGTTGCTTACAGAAACCATAATAAAACTTTTTATGGATTTCAGTGGGTAGAAAAGTCGGTACACACTTGAACTCATCCAGTAGTCTCTGTGCAACTTCTTCTTGTTCACTGCCATCTATTTCAACCTTGAGAGAGCCAACATATATAACCTCGGTGTCTCTAGGAAAACCATCCTTTAATTGCAAGTAAAGTGAGTCATCATCAAAGCTAAAGCACCATTTTGAAGTTCCTTCATCCCTATGAGCATGCAACGGCAACATATTTGCCACTATGATTTTTCGTTCTTGACAAGTGGAAGACATGCCATCTGAGTCACCATCAGAGATGATTCCTGGAACAGTCATCAGTCGAGGAAGACCTCTAGGAGTTTGGGGGACATCCAATATTTCTTCAGATGCCAGACCCAATAGATTTGAAGAAGATATTGATGCCATTAGTTGCAAGTGAATGGTTAACCGAATAAATAAAAGAACTGGAAGCTCATAGAAAACTATGTTCGAACTGAAGGTGAGTTGGTTCCATCAGTTATAAATTCATCCAGCCTACTATGTACAACTTGGCATTTAATGCAATTTTAACAATATTCTGTGAAAAATTGGGCAAACATGAAATAAGATCAGCCTTCAATGTCAGCATAACATCAAACTTGTGGATAAAAGACATATGTACAAACAAAACCAAGAGGAGTAAAGATATGCATCGCCCTTTAATGTAAAAATGAACATATTCATCTAGATCTACAGCCTGCTAAACATTGACATCATCATGCATGTAAATGTATATTGCAATCATCTGTGCCAATTATAGAGAGGAGCGATCATGGGAGATATAGTGAAAGTGTTAAACCGAATATAAAACATATACTCCCTCAGTCTCATAGTATTTGTCCACTTTTGACTTTTTTTGGTCAAAATTGGTAAACTTTGACCCCAAATTAAATAAAAATGATACTCGTATTAGATATTGATACAAAAATAGTTTTATTAGATTTATTATATAAAATATTTTCAAAATATTATTTTATCTAATTAATATACACTATATTTTTAATTAATTATAAGTCAAAGGTTGAAAACGATTGATTGGAATAAGTCAAAATTGTATAAATATGTGATATATATATATATATATATATATATATCGCTCTATTATGCATTATTGAGAAAAAACACATAAAGAAATATTGGATCAAACAAGATATTGAATGAAAACTAGATAGTACAGCAATACCAGTAACTGCAAATATGTGTGTTGCATTCATTGGAAAATGTTTTTATGTTTAGTGAAATGTGATGACCCTTTTTAAAGTTTAAACGAAAAATGTAATGACTCGGATTTGCGTGGCACACGCGTCAATGAGCTTGATGTTGGTTGGAGTTTTGCTGAAAAGTAATAAATGCATTCAGTTTTCACATTATGCCTTAGCTGTATTTAGTATTTTGTAACACGCAATGGCATACTTCACGTAGAAACTGATTGCTGAGTGGAATACAGGGGAGGGGGTTTGTCATTTGGTGAGCGTAATGTCAAGGTTCATACTACCCGCTTAACATTGCACTCTGCAACAACACAACAAAAACCCAAACCAAGTACAATCCTAGAAAAGATTTTATGTTGTAACACAACCCCTTGCATGCAGGCGAGATATGAGCTTGCACGAACGTTGCACGTGAATATTAATTTTTTAAAACTTGGTGGCGGTGAGAATTGAATTCGGGGCCTCTTGGCGAGCGAGCCTCTGATTCCATGCCAAACCACCAAATCAACCAAAAGCTCAAGCTTGTGGTTATAGGCTAAGAAAAGGTTTTATACTCTAAGAGTCTGTGAGGGTGTGTGGAGGTCTTGAGGGTGTGTGTACGCGGATCTTTCCCTTACTTGAAAGTAGAGAGGTTGTTTCCAATAGACTCTTAATTTGATTTTTAAAGTAGGGTGCAAGGATATGCTGGTAATGTGAAAATGCGAGGACCCTTTTTTGAAGTTTACCTGAAAATGTAATGACTCAGAATTGCGTGGCACACACATCAATGAGTTTGATGTGGGCTGGAATTTTGTAGAAAGGTATTAAATGAATTCAATTTTAACGTTTTACCTTTGTTGTATTTAGTATTTTGTCGCACGCAATTGCACGCTTCACGTGAAAATTGCGTGGCATACGCATCAATGAGTTTGATGTTGGTTGGAATTTTGTAGAAAGGTATTAAATGCATTCAATTTTCACGTTTTGCCTTGTATTTAGTATTTTGTCGCATGCAATTGCACACTTCACATGAAAATTGAATGCTATATGGAATACAGCAGGAGGGGGTTTGTCGTTTGGTGAGCATAATTTCGGGGTTCATAACCGGCATATCCTTGCACACTGCAACAACACAACAAAAACCCAAATCCAGTTTATACTCTAACACGCTCCCTCACGTGCGCGGGAGATTTGTGCTTGCACGAACCTTGCACGTGAATATTAATTTTTTTAATTTGGGTGAGGGTGAGATTTGAATTTGTGATTTCTCACAGATCAAGACTCCAATACGATGTCAAAAAACCAAATCAACTAAAAGCTCAAGCTTGTGGCTATAGGTTAAGGAAAGGTTTTATACTCTAAGAGTGTGTGAGGGTGTGTGGAGGCCTTAAGGGTGTGTGTGCGCGGACCTTTCCCTTACTTGAAAGTAGAGAGGTTGTTTTCTAAGAGACTCTTGATTGGATTTTAAAGTAGGCTTCAAGGATATGCTGATAATGTGAAAATACAAAGACCATTTTTTAAAGTTTACATGAAAAATGTAATGACTGAGTTTGATGTTGGTTGGAATTTTGTAGAAAGATATTAAATGCATTCAATTTTCACGTTTTGCCTTTGTTGTATTTACTATTTTGTCGCATGCAATTGCACACTTCACGTGAAAATTGAAGGCTAAGTGGAATATAGAGGGAAGGGGTTTGTCATTTGGAGAGCGTAATTTCAGGGTTCATATTACCGGCATATTCTAACACTCTGTAACAACACAACAAAAACCCAAACCCAGTAGCATCTCAAAAAAGATTTTATACTCTAACACGCCCTTTCACGTGCAAGGGAGATTTGTGCTTGCACAAACCTTGCACGTGAATATTAATTTTTTAAAATTAAGTGGGGTGAGATTTGAATTTGAGACCTCTCGGAGGGTGAGGCTCTGATACCATGTAAAAACCAAATCAACCAAAAGCTCAAACTTGTAGTTATAGGCTAAGGAAAGATTTTATACTCTAAGAGTTTGTGAGGGTGTGTGGAGGTCTTGAGGGTATGTGTACGCGGACCTTTTCCCTTACTTGAAAGTAGAGATATTGTTTTCCAAGAGACTCTTGATTGGATTTTAAAGTAGGCTGCAAGGATATGCTGGTAATGTGAAAAAACAAGGGACCCTTTTTTAAAGTTTACATGAAAAATGTATGACTGAGAATTGCGGGGTACACACATCAATGAGTTTCATGTTGGTTGGAATTTTGCAGAAAACTATTAAATGCATTCAATTTTCACGTTTTTGCCTTTGATGTATTTAGTATTTTGTCGCACGCAATTGCACACTTCACGTGAAAATTGCGTGGCACACCATCAATGAGTTTGGTGTTGGTTGGAATTTTGTAGAAAGGTATTAAATGCATTAAATTTTCACGTTTTCCCTTTGTTGTATTTAGTAATTTTTCGCATACAATTGCACACTTCACGTGAAAATTGAATGCTAAGTGGAATATAGAGGGAGGGGGTTGTCATTTGGAGAACGTAATTTCAGGGTTCATATTACCAGCATATCCTTACACTCTATAACAACACAACATAAACCTAAACACAGTAGGACCCCAGAAAGGATTTTATAATCTAACACGTCCTCTCACGTGCAGGGGAGATTTGTGCTTGCACGAACCTTGCACGTGAATATTTTTAATTTTTGAAATTAGGTGGCGGTGAGATTTGAATTTGTGACCTCTCGGTGAGTGAGGCTCTAATACCATGTTAAAAAACCAAATCAATCAAAAGCTCAAGCTTGTGGTTATAGGCTCGGGAAATATTTTATGCGGTGTGTAAAGGCCGGAAGGGTGTGTGTAGGCATACTTTGCCCCTAGTAGGAAGTAGAAAGATTGTTTCCAAGAAACTCAAGATTAAATTTTGTCAAGTAAGGTATTAAATGCATTCAATTTTCATGAAAATTCTCAGTCATACATGAAAAATGTATGACTGAGAATTGTGGGGTACACACATCAATGAGTTTCATGTTGGTTGGAATTTTGCAGAAAACTATTAAATGCATTCAATTTTCACTTTTTTGCCTTTGATGTATTTAGTATTTTGTCGCACGCAATCGCACACTTCACGTGAAAATTGCGTGGCACACGCATCAATGAGTTTGGTGTTGGTTGGAATTTTGTAGAAAGGTATTAAATGCATTCAATTTTCACGTTTTCCCTTTGTTGTATTTAGTAATTTTTTCGCATACAATTGCACACTTCACGTGAAAATTGAATGCTAAGTGGAATATAGAGGGAGGGGGTTGTCATTTGGAGAACGTAATTTCAGGGTTCATATTACCGGCATATCCTTACACTCTATAACAACACAACATAAACCTAAACACAGTAAGACCCAGAATAGATTGTATACTCTAACACGCCCTCTCGCGTGCAGGGAAAATTTGTGCTTGCACGAACCTTGCACGTGAATATTTTTAATTTTTGAAATTGGGTGGCAGTGAGATTTGAATTTGTGACCTCTCGGTGAGTGAGGCTCTGATACCATGTTAAAAACCAAATCAACCAAAAGCTCAAGCTTGTGGTTATAGGCTCGGGAAATATTTTATTCGGTGTGTATAGGCCAGAAGGGTGTGTGTACGCATACTTTGCCCCTAGTAGGAAGTAGAAAGGTTGTTTCCAAGAGACTCAAGATTAGATTTTGCCAAGTAAGGTATTGAATGCATTCAATTTTCACGTTTTGCCTTTGCTTTATTTAGTATTTCGTGACCGCAATTGCACACTTCACGTGAAAATTGAATGCGAATTGAATGCGAGTGGAATACAGGAGGGATTTGTCTTTTGGTGAGAGTAAATTTAGGGTTCAAATTACCAGCACATCCTTATACTTTGCAAGGACACATTATGAACCATTATGAAAATTAACATGTACTCCGTATTTAAAAAACTAGCTTAATTGATGAAAACCAAAACTGAGAAAGCTAAATAAGAATAGCCTAAAATGGCATAATGAAAAGGAGAAAAAAAATCATTCCCATAAATCAAATTGGGAGTTCAACTAAAAATAACCTTTTATCCTTTGAAGATCTTTTAGATATATACTCTATCCTCTATACACCAGCCACAAGGCTTGAATCCAAAAATCAACCATTCCACTACAACTATACCCAAAAAAATCAAAAATTGAAATTATTTTTACTACACACAACCAATATCAACCAACTAGTACATTAAAAACACAAAACCAAACAAACCAATTTCATCCCATTAAAAGATGAACTGGAACCATTCAAATCTCCAGTTTCTCATAATATAAACCAATTTTACTTTAATTTGTTGCAGAAACCGTTGGCACACACAGAGATTGCAATTGCAATTAAAAACAGAGCAGGAGAAAAAAAGAGAAAGGGATACGAGAAACCGTACATAACACTTGTGGCACTTCAAGGCCGGAATACGGTGATCGGAAAACGCCGCCGCCGCCGTAACGCAACCGGATGACGTGTCCTGTCTGTGTATCTGAGAGATATGAGAGAGAGAGGGAGGGAGAGACAGAGAGATATGTTTCAACGGAAGAAATAAATAAGAGTAAGTTTTTTAGAGAGAGAAATCGGAATGCCAGAAGAGATGAGAACTATGGATATAGTTTCTTTTTTTCCTTTTTTTTCCCTCTTTTTTTTTTGGATATATATATACGGATTAGGGAGTACTTTTTTACTCCATACTTTTTTTTCATATCTACTCCGTCTTAATTTTTTAAATAAACTGAATTAAAAATAATTTTAGTTAAAATTTGTAATTCAAATTAGAAACATTATTTTAAGACAGAGAGAGTAATTCTTTATTTAAAAATCATAAAAAATTTTGTTTATTACTCTCTTCGTCCCTGAGTATTAATCTATTTTTAAATTTTTTCGGTCAAAATTGGTGAAATTTGACATCAAATTAAATAAAAATAATGTTAGATATTGATACAAAGCTAATTTTATTAGATTTGTTACATCAAATATTTTCCAAATATTATTTTATCTTTTTAATATACAATATATATTTCATTTAATTATAAGTCAAATATTAAAAACGGTTGATCGAAAAAAGTCAAAACTGGACAAATACTCAGGGATGGAAGTAATAATAAATTTTTAGCCGTTATTTGAAAAAAATAAATTATCTTTATTACTTTTTATTCTAAATAACTTTTGATATAGTTTTTAAATACCAATTTTTGAATAAAGTACTTTAAAAACATAAAATGTCGTTTTGTTTTGCGTTGTATAGTAAATATTTTGGGATTGAGGAGATAGTTCAACTTAAAATAATTTAAGAAAAAGGCGAGTGGCTTAAATTTGTTTTCAAGAAAGAGAGAAATTATAATTTAATTTGGAAATAAAATAAACAAGGCAATATTTTTGTGATTTACTAAAAAGGAAACTGAACAATTAATTCGGAACGGAGAAAGTAAATTTTGACCATACAATTTTGAAGATCTTCCAAAAAAGATTCATATTTACTTCCTACGGAGTATTATATTTATTTTTGATGAAATGAAAAAACCTTATGTTTCCTAAATATGACTATGATTTTGTTTAGAAATATATTTTGTAGCCAGTGCTTTGGATTATTTTTTGATGATATAGATAAATGTATAAAACAATAACGTTAGAAACTATTCTTAGATAACTCTTCAAAAATGCAAAACCGATTGTCAAACATGGCACTAAAAAATCATTGAATTTATTTTAACAACATAAATAGGAGTTTCGATTATCCAAAACACTCCCAAATTAAAATTATGTGTTTTATTGCAAAATATTTTTTAGCATGATGTTTTGGCATTATTTTATTTGACATACAATTTTTATTTTGGTACTCCTTCCTTCCACCCTAAATTTCTTTATTTAGTTTTTTATGTGATTAGTAAGATTTATTTTTGTATTCACTTTCCTAAGTTACTTATGATGTAATGAGTAAAAGTAAAATATGATGAGTAGATTATTAGTGAAAAAAGATTAAATGTGATAGATATAATAAGAATTACTAGGGTTAAGAATTATTTTTTAATAGAAATAAGAATGTGGTTTTAGGACAACAAAAAAGAAATGATAAACATTTTCAGGGACGAAAAAAGTGTTAAAATATTAAAGAAACTCTTTCGATATATAAAATATGTTTTAGCCATATATGACTATGTATTTCTCTCACATAAATATGTGACTCAAAATAAATTTGTCTATTAAAAGTAGGAAATATTAAATTAATCAATTGAACAAAACGAGAATGAGTTGAGAAGTTATGAACACATACTACATGATAATAAATTTCTTTGTGTTCAAAAAAAGAGAAAAAAATTGCATAATGATAATGTTGACATTTGTCTACCCCAGTTTCTTTGGGCTCTGTTTGGCATCAAAATTAGAAGTGGAGTTAGCACTTTGAAAAGATTATATGACGATAGTTGTAAGCGTTAGTATTTTTAGAATTAATACACAATTAAAATTTTATCCCTAACGCTAACACTAATAAAAAAAATGGTATTCCCAAACAAGGCCTTGATTAACCAAGGTTTGGCGTTCCTATTGAAAAAAGCGGGTGTGGTCGTTTACCACGGTCGATTTTCCGGACTACATATTTTCCACAAATCTTCCTTTTGTTCCAAATTTATTTATATTCTTTGAACAACGTGTCAAATCTCATCTTTTTAAAAATAATTTTATTCATAATTCGGTAAAAAAATAAAAAAAAAATACAACTTGTATATTAAAAAACTACAGTACGTATTTCAAAACTTCTACGGAGCAAAATGCAACAAAAACTTTATTTTACCACATGACAAATGAAAACACACGCATAAATAAACATTATCGAGAGACTAAAATATTAAAAGTAAATCATTTTTTAAAAAACAAAAGTATAAATCATTTTAGTATGGAAAGTCTAAACTTTCTTTTGAGATATTTGAAAAATCAAAATTAGAATGCATTGATTCCACCGCCATTTTGAATAACATTATGACTTCCCTATACTACAGAGTAACTTTATACTCCGTCCTTTCAAAAATTAATTTTCTCTTTTAGTTTAGGAAGGGTTGAAGTTTGATCAATAATATTCTTAAATCAATTTATTTGATTATAGGTATAAAAATTTTTTTTTAAAAAAATTATATACGGAGTATTTTAAAATCACATCACAAATTCTACAAAATTAGATATGACCGTGTAAAAAATAAGTAAAGAATGTGTATAAAATTGACCGTGTAAATTATAATGTACAAATTCTATAATACGGAGTAGATAATTTTGTACAGTAAAGAAAAATGTTAGAAGAATTAAAGTGTTTGAACATACTATAATGAAAATAAGTAAAGAATGTGTATAAAAAATTGACGGTGTAACTAATATTATAATTTTAGGACGGAGAGAGTGCTTTTTCATAATAGGTAAAACTTTCCCTTAATAATTAATTATTCACATGATCAAACATAATAAAATATTTTATACATTTTTGTTAGCCATTTTATAAACAGTATAGTCATTTTTTCTTATTTTGTAGAATTTTTGATATAGTTTTTATTGATTGTCTTAGTATCATCGGGTATTTTATATACGGAGTAATTAATTAGATTTACTTAGATCGAACAAAAATTTTAATAATCATTGCTAAATGATTTGACAATACGAACTATTCACTCGTTTAACGATACTACAAATTTTATAATGCAACACTCTGAGACAGCAGCATTGGACAAAGTGCAAGGGCCAAAGCTCTATTGAATTTGAGAGCTAAAGATTGTTGATAATTGATATGTGAAAAATGTGGTGGCATAATTATAAATAAATCAAATTTCTCTTTCATTGTGAAAACAAATAAGCTTATTTGGAATATCATCACGACGAACCAAAAATAATTAAACAATTGAATTAAACCGCTTTATTATATTTTTTGGTAATGTACATAATCATGTTTAGTAATATAAAAAAATATAAAAGTCCTATTTTGATATGTTTTTAACGTTTTAGTCTTACTTGGTCTTTCTCCCTATTACAGAGTATTATTTGGTCCAAAATTAGTTAGGTATTTTTTTTGTTGCTTTAGTTCCTATTTTTTAAAGTTGAAACATGTGCTAATATTTTTTTAAGTTGAATTCCATTTTTGAAGTTTATCTAAACTTGTCAGTTACTAAATCTGTTCCAAAGTACTCACCTAGTTTAATTTTTTCGAGACAAATTAAATACATTTGGAGGCTCAATTAAGTAAAAAGTACAATGTAAATTAGTATAAAAATGATTTTATTATATTCAACTTGTCTAAAATTTTCATCATTTTATTTCATTGTATCAATATGCAATAAGAATTGAGAATAATTAAAAATTAAAATTTATTCAATTTAACTGGAAAAAGTCAAATTAAATTTATAGGAAGAGAGTAAATAGTAATTTGAAAAATCCTAGTCGTATTTTTAAATAAAGGTGATGCAATGCCGTTTGATCATCTTCCGGCCGGCCTAAGAAAACGTCACGTGATTAAGAAAGTGTACGGTGCGGCATGACTTTAATGCATCGTGGATTCGTGGGTTTATACTACAAATGGATAAGATCGAACTGTGGATGGTGGAAAACGGTACATTTTTTTATATGGATATTGAATTAATGTTTTTACTTTTTGAGTTCAAAAAATTAACTTTTAATTTATTTTATTCTTTTTAGTTTTCTAACTTTTCTAGTTATGTCTAATTCTTTCGAGTTTCTTTCAACGTCGTCTTAAAAAGATATTTCTATATGATGAATATAGAATAATATTACATATTCAAATTTATAACATATCATCTCAAACACAGACAACGATGAATCTTTTTATATCTAAAATTAAAATTTTCTTACATATTTATTTAGATGATCATTTATTCATTTAATTAAGTGACTTCTTAACACATTAATCTTCTAACATTTTTCAACACTTTCCAACTTTTCTAACTTTTTCTAGTTTTTCTGAACTTCATTCAGTTTTTTTCAACATTCAACATTAAAATTCTAACACAAAAGAACGTGACTTAAAAGTTTGTTTTCTTCCATTTATACTTATTATTTGTTTTGAAATAAACTTATATTTAATTTGAATTAAATCAGGCAAATAATGGGATAACTCGCTTCATTTTTTATAGCTCTCATATTTATTAGTGTAGTATCTATTTAATCTTTATATAATATTAACCTTTTAAACGGAACGATGGGAGAAGAACAATTTATGTGAAAAAAACTTGGGGTGGCTTCTTTGCTGCTACGCCAACTTGATTCCACAACTCATTTTGTTACTTAGCTTGACTTTGATGGAAATATTTTTCGGAAAATGTTGCATTTCTTGATTTTACTCCTTTTGTCTCGAAATGTTTATCTAGTTTTGACTTTTTATAGTCAATCAAGATGAATATTTTATCTATAATTAAATAAAAATTATATGATATACTAATTAGATAAAACAAATCAAAATTTTGAAAATATTTTACAGGATAATCTAATAAAGTTATTTTTATGTCATGTAATATCTTATACGGAGTATTAGTTTTATTTAATTAATGACTAACATTTGTCAACTTTGATTACAAATGTTGAAATTAAACAATCATCCATAATAAAGATAATATAATACTTTGTATTTTGTAATAGAAAATTAACGATTATAATTTTACCATTTTGTCTCTTTTTCAATACTGTAATATAGAATTTCTCTCCTGGTTTGAGTGGTATGAAGTCCATCCCCCAATACTCATATAGAAGTTTATCTAAATTCGACCCCAACAGTGACGGAATAGACGGAAGTGTTGATTCTTTATATATTATTAAATTGAGAAATATATGAACAAGCACTATATTGTAAATTGTAATACAGTTGTACTCCCTCCGTCCCTGAGTATGTCTACTTTTGACTTTTTCGGTCAAAATTGGTAAATTTTAACCTTAAATTAAATAAAAATGATATTAGATATTGATATAAAAATAGTTTTCTTAGACTTATTATATCAAATATTTTTAAAATATTATTTTATCGAATCAATATACAATATATATTTTATTTAATTAAAGGTCAAATGTTAAAAACAGTTGACCGAAAAAAGTTAAAACTGGACAAATACTCTGGGACGGAGGTAATAATACTTTTGACCGTTTTTTACGAGTATTGTATGGATAATAAATCAATCACTTCAATACTTTGACCGTTTTTTATATTTGTGAAATTAGGGTAAAGCTATTTGTACCCCATGTTTTGTACCCCACTTTGTATCCCGTAGCTTTGCACCAATACTTTGTGTTGGTGTAAAACTAATTTTTATTAATGTACTAACACTTTGTGTCCGTGTAAATTTTTGTTACTGCACCAACACTTATGTCGGTGTAAACCATCAAAATGTTTGTGTATAACTGCGGTGTACAAATGAGATACAATTTGTGGTGTAAGTGTAGCATAACCCGTGAAATTGATGTGTATGAAAACGAATTTAGGAGAAATAGAATGGATGAATAAAGTGGTAAAGTCAAATGGTAATGAAAAACGTTGTCTTTAGATTAAAAAATCAAACCATCAAATCAAAGAAAATTGTTTCTTGAATGGTATATCTTCTATTTCATACTCCCTATTACTCCTTCCATCCGGAAATATTCTTCCCGTGTTGACTTGACACGCTTATTAAGGAGTAGTAAAAAAATGTAAAATAGGAGATCACATGTTGCAATTTTGTTAGAGCCTAAGCATGATTCTTCTAGATAGGAGATCAGATGTTGCAATTTTGTTAGAGCAATAATTTTTTTGTATAGATATTTGATTGAAATTATTTACAATGCAATTTATTTGAGATTTGGAGTAAAACTAAAGAATAAAATTTACATGAATAAATCCTATAATTAGTCTTTTATAACAAAAATTCTCTATACTTAGTATTCTATTATCAAATATTACCACCGTGGTCCACCTTTTTATCGGTAACTTTCTACAATAGTCATTTTTTGACTTTCTGCAATGCTAATGTTAATTTGAAGACTAAAAGTATAAATTGACATCAACGTATTTTGATATCGGTTAGACAGATAACACAATGATAATAACTATGACTGTAGACTAAGATTCTGATGAAAGACAATATTTATAGAGTATAGATTTGTTTGGAATAGCGTTAGAGTTTAGTGTTATCATCTTAAAAAGGTTATCTACGAGTAAGTTTAGAATTTACGTTTTAAAATTAATTTGCATCGTTAAAATTTTATCTAAAATGATAATAATAATCTCTAAAACTATTCCTTGCCGTATAGTTGTAGTATAAAAGATGAGGTTGTAGTTTGATTGAGGGAAAGAAAGATAAGGCTGTCCGCGTGCGTGGCATAACATATTGTTTTTGACTCATCCTAACTTTTCATTGATATTCATGTAGTCCTCAATTGCAAGCCGGATTTTAAGGAGCTGTTACAGGGGCACTTACGGAAATACCGAGTACTAAATTCTGTCATTTACACGCCAAGTCATCCTTCTATCCCAAAAGTTAAGTGTGGAAAGAAAATAAAGATGATTTTTTTTATAGGGAAAAAATAAAATTACTTTTTCTTGTCTTTGGATATACAATAATAAGGAGAAAAAAAATAAATTCACTTTATCTACTAATTGTACTTCGTACCCTACTTAGTAATATACAGCTGGCAACCTGTCGTATAATACGTCAATACGTACAATATACTATAATAAGGAGACGGAATATGAATTCATCTCACATTCTAATTGTACTTCGTAGTTTGTACTAGTCAACCTTTCATCCCATTTTGAAAGAAAAATTTATGAAGTAAAGTACATTCATACACATTTTTAAAATTCAAGCTGGATTTTAAGGAGCCGTTACAGGGCACTTACGAAATACCGAGTACTAAATTCTGTCATTTACACGCCAAATCATCCTTCTATCCCGAAAGTTAAGTGTGGAAAAAAATAAAGATGATTTTTTTTCAGGAAAAACATAAAATTATTTTTCCTTATCTTTGGATATACAGTAATAAGGAGAAAAAAAAATAAATTCACTTTATCTACTAATTGTACTTCGTACCCTACTTAGTAATATACAGCTGGCAACCTGACATATAATATGTCAATACGTACAATATACTATAATAAGGAGACGGAATATGAATTCACCTCATCTTCTAATTGTACTTCGTAGTTTGTACTAGTCAACCTTTCATCCCATTTTGAAAGAAAAATTTATGAAGTACTTTCATACACATTTTTAAAATTCAAGCTGGATTTTAAGGAGCCGTTACAGGGCACTTACGGAAATACCAAGTACTAAATTCTGTCATTTACACGCCAAGTCATCCTTCTATCCCAAAAGTTAAGTGTGGAAAGAAAATAAAGATGATTTTTTCAGGAAAAACATAAAATTATTTTTCCTTGTCTTTGGATATACAGTAATAAGGAGAAAAAAATAAATTCACTTTATCTACTAATTGTACTTCGTACCCTACTTAGTAATATACAACTGGCAACCTGACGTATAATACGTCAATACATACAATATACTATAATAAGGAGACGGAATATGAATTCACATCATCTTCTAATTGTACTTCGTAGTTTGTACTAGTCAACCTTTCATCCCATTTTGAAAGAAAAATTTATGAAGTAAAGTACTTTCATACACATTTTTAAAATTCAAGCTGGATTTTAAGGAGCCGTTACAGGGCACTTACGGAAATACCGAGTACTAAATTCTGTCATTTACACGCCAAGTCATCCTTCTATCCCAAAAGTTAAGTGTGGAAAGAAAATAAAGATGATTTTTTTCAGGAAAAAAATAAAATTATTTTTCCTTGTCTTTGGATATACAGTAATAAGGAAAAAAATAAATTCACTTTATCTACTAATTGTACTTCGTACCCTACTTAGTAATATACAGCTGGCAACCTGGCGTATAATACGTCAATACGTACAATATACAATAATAAGGAGACAGAATATGAATTCACCTCATCTTCTAATTGTACTTCGTAGTTTATACTCGTCAATCTTTCATCCCATTTTGAAAGAAAAATTTATGAAGTAAAGTACTTTCATACACATTTTTAAAATTAGTATACAAATAAAAATATAAATTGCACTGTTCATTTCTACACAAAAACTTTCTATTTCTATGAAATAAGACGTGACAAAAATACTTTATTTTATCAAATGATCGATGAAAACCTGTAAACAAACTAAATTATTTGAGAGCCCACAATAGTAATAGGGACTGAATTTTTGGAATGATGGAGTATTTTCCCTCCATCCTTAATTTGACCACACTTCCAAACACAATACATATGCATGCCTCCTTATTCTCTGTCAAAATTTTCTTTCTACTCCCATTTTACTTTCTCCAAACGAATTGTGTTTTATTGGTTCTAAAGTTCTCATGTGAAATGTGGACTTTTTATACTTTTAATGGGTTGACGTAAGGAACTTTTATTTTTCCTAAAGTGTTCATGGTATTTATATACTACGCTTCATAAAATGAGCGCAGACCTTAGGACCACGAGAGGATTTGCCTTTCCCTCCTAAATGGGTGTACTGAAAAATGGTTACTTAGTAAAAATGTCAGTAAGAGAATAAATTTAGTCAAAAATATTATTCCTTTTTACTCCAACCGTACAAAAAAGATGGCTTATTTTGAGTAACGATTTGTTGAAATTTTGGTGGGCCGAGAACGATGGGTGGAGTGTCGGGTAAAATTAATCACCTGCATATAAAGTCGAGATCCACCATTTTAACCCAAAAGCTTAGCTAATGGATAGAGCTTCACCTTTCTTTATATGCTAGTGGTATTTATCTTTATTTTTCCGATGTGGGAACTCCAATACGATTGTTGATTGATTATATTTTCAATTTAATTTATTAAAATAATGATATGATATAAAATTTTAAAATTAAAATTATATATTTAAAAATTCTATAAACTGGTTTTTAAGTAAATGCGCCATGACAATATTATTTTAATAAATGATTAACGAAATTAATTGATGAAAGTAAAATTTATTTGACTTCTAAAAAGTAAAGAGGCCATCTTTTGGAGGACGGAGGGGATATAAAGTCATGAAACTCTTTAAGATATTCAAAAGGAAAATGCTAGAGTCACAAACATATAGTTCACAAAATTTACAAACTTGCCTTTTGTGGATTTTAAAATAAAATATCTTTTACTATTTGAGTGCATCTTAATTCTAGGAATGTGTTAAAAAGGCAAATTTTTTTAAAATGTAATTCAAGCCTTTTTAAAAGGTAATCTTTTTTAACTGGTAAAACCTTGTTCTTTTTCAGGAAATTACCTAAATAAAAATAACGCAATAGCGTCGTGGCCCTTACGTAAATGAGACATAGTTCACGTATAGGAAAAAGTATTATTGAAAAGATTATGCTGCCTTTACTGAGAACTAACATTACAGCCCAATCGCAAAGGCAATATGGACTGAAAACCAGCATCATTGCTTATTTAAGTATGCACTATAAGAAATCATCTAAAATGAGAGCAAAACATAGTTCTTATCCCAAAAATAAGAGTAACATTTTTTTATCTCCTAAATAAGACTTAAACTAATATTAGCACAAGCATGACACTGCATAAGCACAAGCATGTCACTCTATAATGTCAGAAGGAAAGTAAAATGCCAAGAAACACTTTGATTCCAGCATGGACCAAAGCTCGCCGGAGAAAAAACATGAGACAAAAATTTTAAAAAAAAACGGATTCGAAAACAGTGATAATCACACAATGAAAACCTGCGGTTGAAAACTCATTACATTTGATTGAAAAACTGAAAGCATTCTTCGACATGTTTTGCATCGATTATGATTCCGAATGCCGATAATATAGCGGCATTTGGGTGTTTGGTGCGATGGAAATTTATGAGCATAAAGATCTTATTTTTTTCATTTTCTAAACTTGCAGGTAAACGCCGGAAAAATAAATTCATTTCAAAAATCATTTTTCAGAACACATTTTTCATCTTTCCAAACCAACCTTTAGAAGAAATCTTAGATTTTGTCTACTGTACTGTGGATGGGGTTACACATATGTTAGTCTTAAGAGCATTGGCACTGAGTTTGTTCACCCAAAAGCATTTGTTACCAACCTTTTTTTTTCTCTCTACATATATATAGTGTATATTTTGTAGGATATATGTATGTGTGTGTATGTATAGCCAAAAAAAAAATCAGACATTATAAACCATTCCCACCTCCAGAGTAGACGCGTGGGGTACACTCAAAGCATACCCAGGTCTTCTACTATTCCTCCTCAAGAACTCATACCCAAAATTTATGACAATCTTCTTCACAAGGCTAGACCCATGCTTGGCCTGCACATAAGAATGTCCTAGGATGTAGGCCACCCCGGCCTCCCGCGCCTCCATCAGTTCCCGCAGCTCGGCCCGCGCCGCCCTGTCGATTCTCGGCGACTCCGGGACCACGAACCGCACCCTCTTCCTCGCCGTCGTTATCTCCCGCAGCTCTGATGCTCCGAGTGATGACGTGGAGGAGGAGGAAGAGGATGAGGGGTTGCCTTCCCTCCTATCGTTTTCGTCGTGTTCGTAAACGTGGACCCCACTGGGGTAGGTCGAAGGGGTCCCTACCACCGCCATTCTCTCGTCGGGGTCGGGCCCTCCGTTCCCTCCGGCGCGGATGAACTCGGCGACGCTACAAATGAGGTCGTTCTCAAAGTGGGAGTCGTCCTTGTGCGCGTCCCGGTACCCGTACCGGACGATGCACCGATACATCCGGTACTCGCGCGGGCCGATGCGGCCCACGAGGAACCGCTCTTCGTTCTTGACGTGGGGGATCGGGACGGACTTGACGCATAGGAAGACCAACACGCGGTGGAACGCGGGAAGGTTGGTGACGAAGTGGGAGAATATCGCCGGGATGCCGGCCACGAGCTCGGTGTGGATTAGCCCGATGCCGTTGACGCGCACGATCCCGAGCGTGGGGCCCAAGCCGAGGAGCCAATCGACGGAGACCTTGTTTTGCACGTCGAACTCGTACTTCTTGAGCAACCCGTAGTGCCAAGCGCACATGACCATCATGAAGACGAATGCCATGGCGATGGGCACCCACGCCCCTTCCAAGAACTTGATGAGGGAGGCCGAGAAGTATAGGGCTTCGATGGCCCCGAAGAACACTACAAAGCCGATAGCAACGAAGACGCTCTGGTGCCAACACAGAACAATCACCAACGACATCAAACACGTTGTCACCAACATTACCGTTATAACAGCCAAACCTGATGTCATCAAAACAACAGGCACTCAGTCAACAAGGCTCTGATCCCATGTCAAGAAACCAATTGAGTTCAACTAAGCTTGTGGTTGAAGGCACATAACAACAATATTCAAAATCATTCATTCATTCATTCATAAGTTGTATTACCCGAAGCATTGCCGAGTCGCTTAGTGTCTCGGAAACCAATAGTAACAGCCAAACACAGTATCATCAAAGTCCAATTGATCTCAGGAATGTAAATCTGGCCGTGTATTTTTGACGAAGTGTGTACGATTTTGACACCTGGAAAGCACCCCAGAGACGAACACTGTTTGATGATCGAAAACGTGCCCGTGATTATGGCTTGGCTCCCCACAACAGCAGCCAGAATAGCGATTACCAGAACAGGCCATCTCAGCTTCTCTGGAAGAAGAGTTTTAAGTTTTAATCACACATTTTATATTAAAGGACAGTTTTTTTTTTGGGGAACTAAGAGACAGTTCTTTATAGTTATAGTGTGCATACCAGGGACAGAAATGTAAAAGCCAATACGATAGTTACTTTCGATAATGTGATGCTGCGACATATAAGCGGCTTGTCCCATATATGCAAGGACCAGTGATGGGTAAACCAGGCACGTGAAAGCAATCTGCAAATTCAGAAGGATGAAAGTTGCAATTTGTAATGTGAATGTGAGACAATGACAAAGATTCACAGTCACATAAGTACATGGGTGACACCAAGGTTGACATTGTTGGTGTTTCATACAATGGTTGTTTGTGCGTAGTTGCCACTGGTGGTGTCAATCTTGGTGTCATACTGTCATTCATGGGATCAACAGAAGCGTTCACTCCAAATATATACCCACCTGTATCGATAATTGGGAGAAGTGCCCGAGATCAGCAAACATGGCTTCGGAACCTGAAAGAAAGAGTGAATCCAGGGTAAAACATAAAACAGAAATGCTAGGAACCCACCGCGGGTGCCCCAACGGATGACAAACACAAATGATCTATACATACACAGACGATAATAGTCGTGATCGTCTGTGTATGCATAAAATTACCTATGATTGTTATTTGTGAGGGCAACCGTGGTGGGTTCCTAGCATGGTTCCAACTATAAAAGATTTAAGGGTAAAACAGTAAATAACTACGCAGAGAATAGGCACCGACCTGTAATGCACAAGAGAATTCCACCCAAGGACATCCAGCCTCCTCTTTGAGTCTTCTTCAAGAACTTGTACATATAGTGTGGAGACAATGCTTGATACACGCGAGGGTTCCAATGGATTATATTGTACAAACCGATTGCGCTTATGCATAGAAGCCATGTTATGACCACCGGAGCGAACAAAAATCCAACTCTGTGTGTGCCGTAGTGTTGAAGGGAAAACAGCACTATCAAGATGAGACAAGCTACCGAAACCTCTATATCTGCAAAACATGAACATTTTTTTGCCAAGCTTTAATCCCAATTCAAGAGGTAAAGAAGTTCACACTTTTTTTTCGTCTGCCCCAAAATAAACTTCCTATTTTTTCCATATAATGTGTCTTAAAACAATTCTCCCTCTTTTAAAGAAAATATTCCCCGTGCACTTTTCGCTTTTCAACAATTTTTAAACTCCGTGAAGTCAACTGCAGAGATCCGCTTTCTTTTTCATTGTTTTCTGCCATGTGCAAAATTCTAGGAAAAACCCAAAGCACAAAAATTCAAAGTCTGAAATAAATGACATATATATAGTGTTTAAAATTGCAAAAAAAAACACAGTTGAAGTTCCAAAGACATCATAATATTTTGCTTTTTCCACTTGAATGAAAAATATCACATGAACAAGTTGACTTTTTTCAACAAAAGCTAGATAGTGACTTCTAATCTAATTATGATATGATTGTTGCAAAATCAACACTTCATTTGGGTATATCCGCCCTATTTATACTAAATAGAAAAGTTTAGCCTTAAATATTGAAAACAAAAAAAGAAAGATAAGAATTGAAAGGACAAAATTGTCCATTTAGTGGATTTAGCACCATCCTTTTGACATATGTGAGCACTTGGATGACTAGTTGGAAACTACTTGGCAATTATAAGGAATTAAATTAAAATTCAACAGAAAACAACTATTCTTGACTTGTAGCCCACACTTATTCAAACACATAAATGATGAATAACTTTCAAATCCCAGTTTCATGTAAAATACAACAAGAACATGAGAAGGAATCATACATTTGTTATGCTCTTTAGAGATAGCAAGCTCCAAACCTGAAACTGCAGAAAAAACTGCAGAAAAATAAAAATACAAATACAAATCAAGGGCTAAATCCCACAAAACAAAAAGGCCAAAATTTAATAATTAGCAAACCAATTCATACCAGAAATAGCAGGAGAAAGAATGCCATCACCAATAACCATACAAGCTCCAACCAAAGCCAATACAAGAAGAAACCTCTGCAACACTCTATGCCTCTCCAAAGTCGATTTTAGCCTTGACCCAACACTAGAATGTGCAGGAGAAGACATATCCTTCTTGTAAAATGACAGTTCTTCATCTGCTAACTGGCAACTGGGGAGTGAGCTAACCCTAGCATATCTACACAGGAGAGAATACAAGGCAAAAGTGCCCCCTTCACCATTATCATCAGCATTGAGAACTATGAACACATATTTCAGAAGAGGGACCAAAGTCAATGTCCAGAAAACAAATGAAAGAACCCCAAAAATCTCTTCATTCGTCTCTGAATGTTCAATGTCCTCTGCAAAAGTGCTCTTGTAGACATACAATGGGGATGTACTCAAATCCCCATACACAACACCCAAGCTCTGATATGCCAATGTCAAAACTGCCCTCCATGATTCTCTCTGCAAACAAAACCCCAAACCGCATAAATTAAAATTCCCCCCAAAAAAACAAAACAAGAAAATGGGCAGTCGTGAATTCTAATTCTTGGAAATAAAAACCCAACCTTTGAATGATTCTGAGGAAACCCGGACTCCAGATCCATCAATTCTTCTCAATACTGCAAGAAACCCATTTCTGAAATGATAAAGGAACAATTCAAGAACTTCAAAGCTGGCCAGCCAGCCCTCTGGACACTACCTTCCCCGGAAAAGAACTTCCACAGACTGAGGCGAAACGCAAAGCCAATCGAAGGATTTTTAAATCTTTTTATCTGTCACTGTAATCCTATTTATATAAAACGGGAAAATAACAGCAGTTGAACAACCTATCAGGAAAATGTGAAAAATAAACACCAAACGCAAAAGATTTAGCTGTAAAAAAAATGAAAGAGAAGCTAGTTGGAGAATCGGAGCGCAGAATTAAAGAATATATTACTCCGTATTTTTTTTCGGCAAAATGACAGTGAGAGAGAATCAGAGAGAGAGACTTCACAATCTTTACTGCTTTCTGAAACAGAAAAACTCTGAAATTTATTTCGCCGATTTCGGATGTAAAGAAAGTGAGATACGGTTGCGCAGCCCGTAGGTGTGATTTCACGTTTCGCTTTCAAAGGGTATATTTAATCCGGAGCATTTAATTAATTTACTACGCACTTTTATTTTTATTTTGTGTTTTGTTTTTAATCATTGGGTTGCGTCTTGGCTTATGTTTGCTTTCATTTTGGAAAAGAAAAAAAGGCTTACGGATGTGGAAAATTAGCTCATTGATTTTGTTAGCATTTTTGGGTATGAAATGTACTACCTTCCTTGTAGTATATTTTTTTTATTTTGATTTTCGATGAATTAATTTGATAAAAATTGAATATCAATTTAATAAAGAATTATATGCATGTATAGTTCATGTGATATTTTATGAGTGAGTAAATAGTCTTCAAACTTTCAAAAGTTGTCGAATAGTCTATGTGATCAAACAACCATGACATAGTTAGTCGCTATATTAGAAAATCCGTAAAATGTACACACCACGTGTATTATATAAAGATGTCAATTATGTAACAGTAAAAAAACTAATATAAAATTTTAGTTGTGATGTGTAATTTTGAACCATAGTGCAATGTCTTCCATCATTTAGTTTAACTCTTACAACGAATTCTCCGTCGCTTCTATAACGATATTCTTGAATCGTAGTACAATGTCTTATGTGAGATTGACATTATTTTGCTTTTTAGGTAGATTTATTCTAAAGTAATATCGTGTGAGAAAAGAGTTAGAAAAAGATCGTTTATTGCCTTTAACCACGAAAACGAGGACAATTTCATGAGTTTAACTTCTTTTTTGTTACATGTTTCACGTTTTCACGCAATACGCCTATGTACGATGTGTTTGACGTTTTCATTAAAGAAAGGACTAATTATGCATCAATTTTTTGACCACATGGACTATTTTGCAACTTTTAAAAGTACAAGGATTATTTATCTACTTATGAAAGACCACATGGACTATTCGTGTGTATAACTCTTTGATAAAAATTGTAATTTATATTAGTATAAAAATAATTCAATTAAATTTAGCTTGTTAAAAACTTTTAAAATTGTATTTCATTGTGTTAATATGAAATACAAATAGAGAGTAATCAATCTAAAAAAGGTGTCTACATTAATTCGAAAAAATTAAATTAGATGAATATATTAGATCGGATGGAGTATGTTATTTCTCTCACAATTTTATGAATAACAAAAACCTCATTTCACATAATGCATATTTCTTTATTTTACTATATGTTCAAACATAAACATTTACATACAAGCTCATTTCACATACTATTCACTTCACATATGTATGCTCATTTGAAAACCAGTTACTCCGTAATACTTATTTTATTTATACAAAATGTATATTTACTAGTTAATATTTTATACATGCGTGTATAAATATTTGACGTGCATACTTTTATTCAACTTTCCATTGAATGGTGTAAACAGAATGATGACGTGTGAAATAATTGCATCAAGTTTATTATTCTAGACCTGGCCTAGGATATTATTCTCGACCGGGTCTGGTCTACTTGTCTAAGATATGAAGTCAAACTTTGTCATTTTTTGGGACAGAGGGAGCATGTCTGATAACATTTTTTCAGAGCGATAATGTAAATTAAACTATTCTTCAATAATTCACACCAAATTTTTTTTAAAATAACACTGCAAACTGTTTTTTCAGGAATCCACTGCAAACTATTTTTCCCTAGAATGGTACTACAAACCTTGTGAAAATACACAACTTTTTTGCACTATAACTTCTTTTTCTAAGCGGCATTGCAAATCAAATTTCCGATAATGCATTACAAATTGTTTTTTTATCATTCACACTTTATTTAAACAACACTACAAACAAGCATACATTATAATATGGAATAATAAAAAATTGCAACCCCAATCCCTTACAAGATTGTACTTCTTTATGCTTAAATTTAAATTTAATTTTTTTTAAAAGTTAAAATATACGAAGACGAAAACAACTTTTATGTTGTAACTTTTTAAAACTATAATTAAAAAAATTAATGTATTTATGTGGCATCTAAAATAAAAAGTACGGAGTATAAAAAATACACCTAAAAAAGGGTTATTAAGCTTGAGGGATTGTTTGGAGAATTCAATCTTGAGAATAGATAATAAAACTCCTTCAAAAAATAGATAATAAAACATGTGTGTGGAGTAATTTTTTTAATAACTCTCGTACCTATCAAGTATAGTATCTGTTCAATCTAAAAATTTCGACATGCACATGGAGTATAGGACCGCGCACTCTTCGTCTAATATGATTGGATGTGATCTGATTTTTTTGAAAATTTAGTCTGATTAAATTTGATCTGATTTCATTGAATTTGATCTCATCTTGATAAAATTAAGTAATAAACAGAAAAATATAAGTTGAATGGAACGAACCCTAGTTCTAATCATATAATAATAAGTATATATATTTCAAAATTATAATAATATTGTATTAAATACTCCGTAACATATACGTAGTACAAAGTAGCGTTTTGGCAATGTAGCTTTTTTTTACTAGACTTTAGGCATAATATAAATAGTACTCCATCCAATAGATTGTTTAACAAACCTAGAAATCAGTTTTTTTTCAAGGTCAAATAGCTAAGTTTAAAAGGCTAATGGCTCTATAATCTACGGAATATTTACTAAACAAGGGCTATTCCTCTTAGATGAGATAAAAATTAATGCAATGTTTGGTAATTGACATGTTAGCTGTTTTATTGTAATTCTTGCAATGTTAATTATGCAAGCCACAAATTATCATCATCATCATCATCATCATCATCATCATCATTATTATTATTATTATTATTATTATGATTTAAAAAATAGTGTTTAAATCCAAATCTCCGTAAATAATTTACACAAGCGTGGAGTTTTCTCTACAATAGTCATGGAGGCATCAAAAATAGAGAAGAATTTAGAAAAGAGAAAATTATCCCAAATGGGACTTCAAATTTAGAACATTTACATAAATGGGAGAGATTGAATGGTTTGAGGTTTGACAATGGTTTCAATTGAGAAGGATTTATTGAAAAAAAATGATGTCCTTGTAATTATTAATGGTTTTGCATCCTAGTCCCTAGAATGTTGTAAAAGTTTTTTTTTTCAAAACCTAGGAGTAAAATATCAAAACTTTCAATTCTAACAACCAAATAAACAAAATGTACCATTAGAATAAATTATCACAAATTTTATGAACCTCCAAAATTTAATTCAAACAATGTGAGACATAAGAGTCATAACAAGAAAATCAATTGTACCCCAAAGTATTTTTCTAAATAATATGACACCTAAGAATTTTAACAAAAATTGAGAATACCTCAAAATAATTTAGAATACCTCACAAATATTATTTAGCCGAACTGATTTTTAATTCAATAAATCAATTCATTTAAATTATGCTTGCATAAAATTTTTAATTAAAATTTATATAATCAAAAACAATATTAAATGTTCTATTAAAATTGAACCTTATTGCATCATGGATGGTAAATTACTACACCAAATATTTAGGGTTATATCATCTCATACGGTAGACCCACCATAACTTGAAGAAAAAAACCAAACCCAATCCAAACATGTCCCACCCAACTTCTGGTGTGATCACATGGATGATTTAGGATGAGAAAAAAAGGAACCAAATTTATTTTATTGGCAGATCTTGAAATCCTCTCAATCAAACTTGTGCCCAAGATCCAGAAGAAAAATAAAAACATCAAATTGGATACAGCTATTTTTAACAAATGAGAAAATAACCCACCCCTAATCCATAAAACAAGAAAGGGTACAAATATCCAATAAATGAGAGTGCTTATAGTATGCAGGCAAGAACATAAAAAAAGCCCCCAAAAATTCCATTGCACATTCATTTCGCCTTCGATTCAATCACCTTCTTGGCAAATGATGGCAAACAGAAAGCGGCAGAATGAATCTGGGAAAAAAATGGAATGTGGATTACTGCTAGTTCAAGGCATCGTTTGGGAACAGCGTTTTCAGTTAGCCAGTGAGGGGGAAGGGGGAGAGAACAATATAGAGACAATTAGAGTGATACCTCGGAGTTGTAGAATTTGAGAGGCACTTTTGCCTCGGCGTCATTTAGATGATCTATTGGGTTGATTGGGTGCTTGAAATCAACCGTTGGGCCCTCGGTAGAACAAAGCATGAAACCCATAACCCCACTGTAATAAAAACACAGACAATGTTTAGGAAATTATGATGCATGCCATTCACAGGCGCTAGGCCGTGGAGCAAGGTTTAGCAGAGGTTAGACAGAATCTAAGGGTATGTTTGGCCTGGGAGAATGACCTCCACTCATTTGCAGAGAAGTATTTTTCACTTGAAAACCAAAACCGAAATTTCACTTGGTTTGGTTTCCAGTCACATGTTGCACGTTCGCTCGGTTACGATGCTCACCCCTGAGCCTACTTGGTCACCCAGTAGTCCGAGACAATGAGTTTAATGGGGAAAAAAGGTGAAAGTTAAAGGGTGGACGTGATTTAACTAACTCAGCAGCTCCCATGTTATAGCAAAAAAAACAAAAAGTACTTTGAAAATAGGAACAAGTTCATGTGTGTGCAAATATTTACCTTGGATAGGTAGGAACGGTAGTCCATGCATAGTTGACAGAGCCTTGGAAAATTTGGCGGCAGTTTGTCACAATATCTTCAATTATGTGCATGTGAAGCCATATACTCTCAGCTTGTGTACATACAACTCCTCCTGGACGAAGAGCCCTTGCCACCAATTGAAAGAAAGGCTTTTCAAACAGCTCTTTTGCAGGGCCTGAGTTAAAGACTTGACCAGGTGAGTTAAATAAATAATTCCATGAACAAATTTAATATGACGAGGAATATAAGGACACACACACCTATGGGGTCAGAAGAATCCACTATAATGGCATCATAAGTTCCTTCAGCTGCGTTCTTCAAGAATTCAACTCCTGCAGATAAGCAAAAGGTTTAAGGTCGGACTTCAATTCTAAAGATCAATGAGTAAGCAACTCATCAGGACGCCAATGTTCATAAAGATGAAACAAAAAAAAAATATTAATCATACCATCGCCAATATGGAGGTTTACACGTGGATCCTCATATCCAACAGCTACATCAGGGAAAAATTGTTTGGAAACCTGTGGAACCAAAAAAAAGATATTAAGACTCAATAGAAGCATTACAATCACATGTGTTTTTATTTACAAAAGTTCAGCTCACTTACATCGACTACCATCTTATCAATCTCACATATGTCTATCTGCTCAACAGAAGAATGACGAGAAACTTCACGCAAGACACCACCGTCTCCTCCTCCGATAACCAGTACCTGATAAATCAACTTAAAACCTATAACATCTCACATATGTTCACCTGAGGAGCATGGTGCTCCCTCATTAAAAACTATAATAAGCAACAGGCACTTTCCCTCTCATGCCCCAAACCAACTTTTAAAAACCAGCAGTATTAAGATCATAAAAAAAAATGACCATATGCAATCACATGGGTAAATCACACCACAGATAAAATTCCTCTATTTATACACCCTACAGATGATCAGTTATACACGATGGAGTACAGACCTTCTTCGGGTTCTGAATTGAGCAAAGTGGGAGATGAGCGATCATTTCTTGATATGCACATTCATCTCTCTCTGTGAGTTGAATCACACCATCCAAAACAAGCACTTTACCATAAGTAGAAGACTGTACAAAGAGCCAAAAAAGTTAAGACACCATTGCACAAGAGTATGAGGTTCCTCTTGTAAAACACATACTCTGTAATATGTACTTCTTCCATTCCAATATATTCTTCCCGTTTACTATTTGAAGCATCTCGACAACTTAAGTTTGTATGCACTTTTCATTGATCATTTGATAAAATAAAATATTCTTGTCACGCCTTGTTTTGTAGAACTTTTGATGTAGCTTTGAACGATGTAATGTATACATTTTATAATTTGAACGTTGTTATACATTTTCAAAAAGATGAAATTTTGCACGTTGTTCAAAACGGGAAAAATAATTTGGGAGGGAGGGAGTATATGCGTGGTGTGAGTTCTGAAAGTTGAAACCTGAAACACCAAGACATCCTGGAAATCTGACTTCCCCTTGAACAGTACACTTTCAACCTTTAAAGAGTGAGCCTCTCCTGCACAATTTCTAACAAATATTACTACATCTCAAGAGTAGCAAGTGAAAAACAATCAATTAGATCTTGAATCTTTGTCACTACTCCCAAAAAACATCCATTTGAAAGTTACTATGAGCAATTATCAAATTCAACTGCTAACATGAAGGTTGGGGGCTAAGAATTTCAGATCTACTCCCATCTGCTTAGAAAGTTAGAGATGAAACATGTTGTGTACCACAAAATTGTACTATTTCTATGTTATTTAAAATCTCAATCATGTCAAATGGCATTATCACCAAGGTTATGGACCCCATAAAACAGAGCATCATCATGGCAACAAACTTCCAGTGCCCACTAAACAAAACAAAACAAAAATCTTTCACTTGCAAATCACAATCATCAAGCATAAAAAAAGAACAATCCATCATAATTCCTTTTTAAAGTTCAACAATCAAAGAGACAGCACAACAGATTAGTCCACCATATAAAGAGAGCAGAAATAAACGAAAGCATAGATTTTTTTCACTGCTGCAGTGATAAATCGGGGCAAAGCAGTTCGAGGACTGACCAGGCCACATAGGGCTAATCTCAGAGAACCAGCCGGGGATTACGGAGGAGAAACACGGCGGCTCCTGTGCGCCGCCGCAGATGGTGGAGTTGTTGGAAGCCTCCATCTCGACAGGGACAGAGCCTCCGTTCGGTTCGTCCTCTCTCTGCCTCTTCGCCGGAAGCTCAACTCCGCTCGCCGCCGTCTCACCACTCGCGGCCGTCATCTCCTGTGTGCGCGTTCGCGGGTATTTATATACTCACACTCCGCTGGGATAGGCGAACCCTCAATTTCCGCAGAGATGGAGAAATTTTAGTATAAAGGGAAAGAATCTGATTAGGAAACGCACATTTGATTTGATGCTCTTCGTCTATCTGCTTTTGCCTTTCGGTGGGAGAGAGCTAAAGATAGGGCAAAGTTCAGAGGACCTGTGATGCCTATGCAAATACAAAAAATCATAGGGGTGCACCAAATGTAACTCAAAGCCTCACCGCCACACATTTAAGGGTCAATTTGGGAATATTGTCTTTTATTAGCGTTAACATTTCGGAAAAAAAAAATTAACTTTACAAATTAATATTGGAAATGCTAACGCTAAATGTTATCTGTATATAATCTTTTCGAAATGCTAACACTAATCTTTAACGTTATTATTAAACAAGTCCTAAGTATTTCTATAAATAAAGGCCAAATAGCATGAGTACCACTCGTGGTTTGGAAAATAAGCATCAATACTTCCCATGTTTTTAAAATTTATTTTTTAAGTACTCGTGGTTTCAAAACGTTGCACTCATATCCCCCAATTCTTTTTGGCCATTTTTCGGTGAAAAAGTGGGCATTAGTGCATATTTTCCAAACGATATGGGGTACTGCTGTAGTGGTGCTTATTTCTTATTTTTCATTTGTTTTTTGTTTTTCTCCTTTTATTCCTTTATTTTTTTCTTTTATTAATCAAATTTTTCTATATTTCTTTTTAATTTTTTATAATGTTCTTAAAATTTAAAAAATGTTTTTGTTAAAAAAATATGAGTAAATTGCTTCTGTACAACTCAAATTAACAATTTTTATTTTTTATTTTCAAAATAAAAAACTAAAAACTTTTTAAAAACTTCAAAAATGAGGAATAAAATAAGAAATAAAAAAACAAAAATAAAAATTAATATCTGTTTTAGACACCCCAATTCTAAAGAGTGTTTAGGCATTTTAAAAATTTCTTTTTGTATGAGACTTTTTTTTTGCATATTTCTCATTTTTTCATTTCCTTTTCCATATATTTCATTTTTTTATTCTAAATTTTATTTTTGAACTTACCAAAAAATATTCTAGATAATAAAAAGTGAAAATGTTTAATTTGAGATAGACCGAGTATATGTTTTTTATTTTTATTTTTATTTTTATTTTATTTCAAACACAATGAATTTTGAATTTTTAAAACATTATAAAAGTTTTAAAGAAATTTAAAAAACTTTTCTAGGAAAAGGAAACAAATAGATCTAGTATTACTCGTTAAGATTTAAAATTGAAGTGTACACCCTTTCACACACAGAGTTATTGTTATGAGCTCGTAATTGAATTTTTTTCTTTTTATAAGATCTAATTCATATAATAATTGTATGTATTAATATTCATAAAATGAAGGATTATAAAAAATAGCCAAAATTTTTATATGGGATACAAAGTTTCAAAGTAAATTTTATATAGGGATTATTGAATAATTATCTCAAGTGCTCTATAAAATAAGAAGCGACATGATACGACATTATTATTTTAAGTAAATGATGACTAAAAAGTTTAGGAGTAAATTCTCAAAATGGTCCTTTATAATAAGGTGTTTTCCCAATTCAGTCTTCAATAAGTTTTAATTACCTATATGGTCTTTTATAATTGAAATCTATTTCCAATATAGTCATTCGTAAATAAGGTTACTCAAATGATGATTAATTGAGAGATATTTTGGTATTTTGATCATCCAAATTTAAAGTATATTTTCGAAATAGTCATTTCTGTACAACTTAATGTAAAATTTAAAAAATACATTGACTATAAATAATTCATGAAATATTTAAAGCTTAGAAAAAATCTTTTAAATTTCAAATCAAATACACATATTTAATTAGAAAAATCATTTTGGGAAGCATTTCAGTATAAATGATTATTTTAAGAATTAATTCTAAATTTAGTAGTTAAAAAATACTCAAATACCCTTAATTAATCCTCATTTGAGTGCCATTATTTACGAAGGACAATCTTGGGAATAAGTCTCAATTGTAGAGGACCACATAGGTAATTAAAATTTATTGAGGATTGATTTGAGAAAATATCTTATTACAAAGGACTATTTTAGAAATTTACTCAAAGTTTAATGATGACATTGTAATGGAAAATTTTAATTTCACTCGTAAAATTTATCAAGATTCAAAACATCACACAAAAGAGCACACACAATAAAGGGAGAAAGACCAAAGTAGGACTAAAACATTGAAAATATACCAAAATAGGACTTCCATGTTTTTATTCCCGAAATAGGACTTACATTACCAAAATGGTCATATACATTACTAAAAAAGTATAGTAATTTGCACATGTACACTGCCACATTACCACAATGCAAAGTCACATTACCACAATGTAAAGTCCTATTCCAGGAAAAAAACATGAAAGTCCTATTTTGGTATTTTTCTCTATGTTTTAGTCCTATTTAGGATGATTTCTAAAATACACAATAAACATGGGTGGTAATTTCTGATTTGTTAAAAAAGAGTGTTCGGTTAACTATTTCTCCAACCATGCTATGACCTATGCCTTTGTTTGGTAACAGCGTTTTCGATTAGCGTTAGCGCTTTGGATAAAATTTTAATGGTACAGATTAATTTTGAAAACACGCTAAAGGTTACCGTAGGATAGCTTTTTCAAAACGCTAACGCCAATTTCTGACGCTGATGTCACACAGGGCCTATGTGTATTATACCTCGTCATCTGTAAGTTTTTTATTCTACAATTATTTTTTAAAAAAAATTATATATTTAATACTTTTGTATTATACTCGCATTTATGTGTAAAATATGAAATCTAATTAATAAGTATGTTTGTTAAAAAAAATAAGTATGTTTGCTATAAATAACAATTGAGTTTGTTAAAATAACAATTTTGCAAGTATATAATTTAACTTTTCTATATGAATGCTTATAAATAAAAGACAATTGTTAAAATTACTACGGAGTATTTTTTTACCATTTACGCCATATTCGTTTGAATTGAAAAATTTAACTTCCAATTTTTCTTATTTCTGTCTAATTTCTTCCAACTCTTTTCATTTTTTATTTTTTTTCAATTAAAATTACTACTACCTCCGTTCAGCTCCTCCGGTGCTTTGCTCGTGAGATGATGGTTCCTACCACCTACCCCTTTTCATGCGAGTGTAATTCGTTGACACTGGAATTTAGAGTCAACGAAACCTTTCCGATATGTGGCAAGGTTCTGCTGACACTGAATTTCAGTGTCAATGGATGATACTCGATCATTTAAAGCTTCTCCGGTGCTCCGTTTGTAAAATTGATGTATCTAATTCCCTTAACCCCTCTATGCGAGTGTCATCCGTTAACAGTGGAATCTAGTGTCAATAGAGCTTTTCCAATATGATTAATATATTATATACTCCTCCGACTCTAAATGATTTACACACTTTACTTTTCAAATATTATGGAAATGTTTGTTTATTTTTATGTTTTTATTAACTATTTGATAGAATAAAATATTATTGTTACATCTTGATTTATAGAACATTTGATGTACGGAGTATTACTTAAATATGTAAGTTTTATTCTTTATTTATGAGTATATTTTAAATGACACTAGTGCCATTGATGTCATTTGCTTACAGCAGTTTGTTTGAGATAGCTAAGCTGACCCGTTTCTAAAAATAATGGCTCCTATCCTCCCTAGTACTCCCTTAAACCCCAACCCAGCCCCACCCTGCCTAACCGACCCAGCCCACCCGCCCCCTCTCTACCCTGGCCTACTGATCTCTCGCCCAAATTTCTTCCCCACTTTGGCGATTCAATCTCTCACCATCCGGCGGTCTCTGGCCCCCTCCGTCGCCCGTCGCTGAAGTCCGAACAAGTGTTCCGACTTCTGACTTCTCTCTTCGAACGAGTTCTTCCATCAACAGATCATCCGAATCTCATCTACTCATTCTCTGGGCTTGAAGATTCATTTGTTGAAGAAGCCACCACTTCGCTCCACGATTTAATATGGTGCGGAGTAATTCATAAGCTCTATTCTTTAATTTCACCGTTTTCCATTTCTTACGTTTCAAGTGATACAGTATTGTTTAACTTTCCATTGCTGAACTTCGATCCTTCACTTACTGTGTTGCCATTGTATGTTATCAGCTTTTGATTAATCTTTAATTTCTAATTGTACTACGCGTGATTTCACATTTGTAAGCCCTAATAGTTTAATCAAATCTATGTGTAGTTTAAATTTGCACCATAAATAAATTGATGCAATTAATCTTCATTTTTATTACGGTTTCTCAAACATTAGCTTAGCTAATACATTTTCAATTAAACATTGTTTTATTAATTTTTTTAATTTGAAAAATGACTCATTAAAGTATTTCTTATCCCCTCGAGCCTATAAGTTGTTTGAGATAGCCATAATCAAGACCAGTGCATGATTTCTAATAGATGCTGCCTAGATGTTCTTATCCATAGTTTCTAGTGTCCGTGTTTCCTTTCCCAAAAGAATAATAGATTGTAGGGATTGAAATGGTTGTGATTCTCAAAAGCTTCAGTATGTAGAGATGTATATTTGAGTAATTCGAAAAAGCTCGGTTTCCTTGCAGTGCAATTAGGATGTGAGGCAAAATGTTTTATACAATTTATACTCAAATCCTCAGTTTGCTAAATCTCGATTATCTTTACAATTTACTATTTGGAACCAGCAAATCTTTGTTGAAGAAATCATGTTCAAGAAGACACGAGTAATTTTGGGAATATGACAAACTTTCCACATCCATTTTTACATAGATATCAAGACATGCAATCCCTCACCCAAAGAAATTCAGCACTCCAAATATTAATGGACACTTAATATTAGGATTGTAAGGCTTGGTATAGTACTAGGTGGTAATGTTTTTCTGTAATTATTTCTATTTTTCTTGGGGAGGAATTTTTGGAGGTCGGGATGGTGGGATAGAAATGAGTCTTAACCGTAGAAGTGTATAACATTTAATTGCCCATGCATGATATTTTAAGAACTTTTGTTTTTCCATTCCTGTGAACAATAACTACTTCTATTCATATTTTGTGTGTGTGCAGATTTTTTTAAATTTGTACTGCCTCTACACCTTTTAATTTGAACTGCAAGCTCAGTTTTTCTAATCTTTGTTTACAGGCAACTCTTGCTGATTCTTTTTTAGCAGATTTGGATGAGTTATCAGACAATGAAGCTGATATTCTTGTGAGTCTAGTGCCTTATATATTTAATTTCAAGTTTCAACTGCAATTATTTTCTTTATTTCTTCTTTCGTGATTCTATCTGTGATGATCTTTCATGATTGTTGAATGATTGAAGTTTTATT